ATATATATATATGTATATATATAAACTCAGTGGAGCGACAGGGGCCATAGAAGGCCAAGGTCTACTCTGGTCAGCCGAACGCGGAACCGATAGTGTTTAGTTCCCAAGCATGCTTGGTACTCCTATCGTAATATTTATCGATAAATATTTCTAATTTCCTCAAAATGTAATAGATAACAAAAAAAACAGTAACTGAAATTTCTTTTTTTTTTTTTTTCTTTTTTTTTGAACTTTCGCCTTTTTACATTTGCTGGAACGATCCGTTACATGGAAAACTGTGAAAACTTCCACCAACCCTCCCCATACCAAAAATTTCCAGGCCGGACGGCACGAAAATTCTAGCCCATAACTTAATATTTTGACACGCAAATGGATACTTTGAAATATCATGAAAGAATTAAATAAGTATATTCACCAAAAAACTGGAGCGGAAATATATAGCTGCTTAGAAAAAAAAAAAAAAACATGAAAGTGTTTGAAACAATGGTGTCCATTCTGAAAACGTTAAGAACTTATTTGTTTGATGACGTACTCGGGAATGGAGTGGAAGTAGAGGAAAAGTTGCGCCAAATGACAGGAAGACAAGTTGTTATCTTTAATGGCATCACTTGAAATAACCACACAAGAACGGCCCTTCAGATCTCTGCAACCTGTAAAAAAAAAAACATTTCTTTTTACCGACAAAGTTATGAAAAATAGTTCCTTCGTAATTTACATTAAGTGGTGAATTTTTTTCAAAGAATAGGGATGAAACACATATATCATAATTTACATCAAGGAATAATCAAATCGAGAGGAAATTAACAACTTTGCTTCTTAGCAAATTTAAAGAAAATTTTAATTAAAGGAGGGTATCTGCTACATTTTAGATTTTCAAATTCATGACTTTTCACGACTTATTGCTAGAACATTTCATGACTTAACGAAGTGACTATTTCCTCCAGACAAAAATAGAATAATAAATTTAAAAAAGCATTATAATAACACGAATTGAAATGATAGGTTTTACCAAAAACTGTTATACTCTGCCTCTTCATATTTATAGATTTTAAATTTAAGAAACAGAGTAATGAAAGAATTGAAGCAATAAAGTAAGTGAAAAAAATACAAAAGAAAAAAAGCAGAATTCAGGCAGAATTACATTCTAAAGATACTTTTCTTGTTCATCGGAAAAGAAAGAAATACTCCTGATTTTCTGTACTCATTTCCAAATAAAAAAAATTCGCCAATGACTGACTTGCTTCAGTTAGAATTTTAAATTGAAAAAACAAATAAAAATTCTGAAATCACAGAAGTTTCAAAGATAATTCGCTCCAGAAATGACGTTCTTTCCTCCAGTTTTTGAAAGAACACCATCATTTTTAAAGAAAATGATAAAAACATTTTATATTTCAATAAATTATGACTGAGTGGGGATTTTGTTACACATTCAGATATTTGGAACATCATAAGATTGGGGGGGGGTCAAATTCCCCAGGTTCGAANCCATTTTAAAAATTTGATTTTTCGGCGACCTAAATCCATGACCTTTTTTTTTTTAAAAAAAAAAAGTTTAAATCATGACGTTTCATGATACATTTTGTTCAATACCGAAATTCATGACTTACCACGATTTCTAATGAATTGCCAGGAGCGCAGATACCTTGTATATACACTTGAAAAGGTGTAGTTACATCTAAATAAAGTGAACATTCCTGAATATTTTCCTTTCAAAAACGCTAACGTTGACGTACTTTGAATGCCGGCAATAGATTGTTTATTATCCAGTAAGAATGGACCCGAGTTCGTAATTGTTTTATCTATATATCTACTAAAACAAAAGTTCTACACAACAAAATGATGTGTGTTTTTAGTTGCGCATTAAAGATATTAATACTTTAAATTTTAAACATACATCATTATTATTATATAATTCTATAATATTTAATTTTCATTCGTTTCTGTTCTGTTAAGATTAATTCGAAGCCGTTTTAATATTTTAATGGTACTTTGCGCATGTTTGATTAATATTTGATTTCATTTCAACAATGAATGCATCCTAAATGAACTTTTTTAAATTGTATCATAAAAATAATTTTACAGACTTCAATGTGTATTATATCTTATTGTTATTATTGAAACTGTTGTGTCACTGAACACCGAAAGGGGGGGTATCAATTTAACCGCTTCCCTTAACAATTTTTTGGAGAAAAAAATGCAAAAAAATCAACTTATTTTTTCATTTTATTAATAAATACAAGGAACTAAAACAAAACATCATACACAAGTTTTAAGCTGAAATTTTATTTTATCTTTTATGCGTAAAAAACATTTATTTTACCATCACTTAACTATCTCGGGCATCACTTAGATAGTTTTTAAAACAAGGGACAATACAAAAGGGATACTTTTCACAACTCATCGAAGTGATTTTTTTAACTGTAAATTCAGCAATGCGCACAAAACGCAATCCAACAACTCCCAAACAAAACTTTGCAAACTTCCAATCACAGCAAATTATTATTATTTTTCTGTTTGTTTAATTCTGGCCGAGTAAAAACGTGATGAAACAAAACGTACTGACAAATTGTGCTAAGCCCGAGTTTTCTCGGGATAATAACCAATATTTACAAATCCGAATTAACTCGGGATAATCAAGGAAGCGGTAAACACTAAAAGCAGTGCAAAGGAACATTTTTGATATAGTTTTACAGTGAACAGAAGAAAGAATCTGAGCACAATATAATGGGGGGAATAGCCGCTCTTTATCGCCTGCAATATCTCCTCGAGGGAAAAACTTTTCTCATCCCTTCTATCTTTCCCTATAAAGAATTCTAATGAGGGAGAAAGGAACTCAGGTAGGGAGGAACAACTTTTGATGTCCCTGAAAAGATCTGGGGGGGAGGGAGAGAAATGTCAATATTACCTGGGTAGAATGTCACTCCTATTTCCGCAGACAAGAGTAAATATAACAGGGAGGGAATCAAAAAATCGATAACAGCAAAAAAGAAAAGAAGGTAGGGATTTTTAGACATTTTTCCACCGTTTCTTTATTTTCAATCGATTCAAATGTGTTTGGCTGTAGATTTTTTCAAAATAATATTAAAATTCGTTAAATTTCTTTTAAAAAAACATATTATAAGGCAGTTATTTTAGTTTCACGGAGTCCTAATTACCATTTCACTATCACAGACTTACTAATTTATCGCGCATGAGTCGAATATTTTTGTCAAATAATTAAAGTAATGGTAAATTTTAATATTTTACAAATGAGTTAGAACAATGGTGACTACCACCACATATAGGAACAGAAACCATTTCACTAGAATAAAAAAATACAGCAAAATAGAAAGAATAAAAATATAAATGAAAAGCACCAACAACATGACAGCACTGCACTGTCAGCATTACCATGCAGTCAGAGCAGAAGCAGTTTCTTCATTCGGTGGCAAAATAACACAGACAAGTATGTCCCAGAGAGAGTAATAAAGCAAGCCAGTCGAAGAAAACTAAGATACAGGAATTGGAAGTAAACATATTCAACTGGTGAAAATCTCGATTTCTCGGATGTAAGTCAAATGTCACATGTTCGACATATGAAAAAAAATGAATTTATATGCCAAAATGGAAAACCATAAAACTACAAAAAAAATATCTGAAGTTATTAGTTTGGGGAGAAAGAACAAATGAAATCAAGGTAATCGATTGGAAATATATAGGCGATTACGTTTCAAGGTGTGTTTCTTTCCTTCTCAAGTTTAATATTGTTCCATTTTGTGTTCGTGTATATATACATACATTACAATTATTCGAGGACAACTCACGATGGTCAAAATTTACCACAATTAAGCGATTTAACCCGCAAAAAACACTCGATCCAGAGTATCTATATAAATGCAGTTTTAATGGATACTAAATATGTTTATTTTACCTATAATTGGCATTGATTAAAATTGTTCCAACTGCCATGAAACAAAAAGAGACTATTACCAATTTACCATTTTATTTTATATTTTATTACCGTCGTTGAACAGCCGACCCAATTTTTTTGGGGGTTTATGACTACTTATGTTCAACTCCGTAGCCTTGTCATTTTTGAACCCAATCCAGAAGACAAGGGAACTCCTGGATCAAGTATTGGGAGAAATTTGCTTTCCTAGAAGACTTTTTCATTGAACTAACCATAACCATCTAGAAGTGAGGAGGCCGTGACCGCAGTTGTATTCGATTAGTCATCCATATCGTGGAACGCCAATCTTTCTTTGAATATATATATATTTTTTGAATTTGACCATTTAATCTGACCATCTAATATGTTCTTTTGCCCACTTAACTCGTTTCGGTCAGAAAATCAATGGAAGCAAGTAATCTGGAACGATGAGAGTAAAATATCACTCTTTGGTAGTGATGGTAGAAAATACGTGAGACGTAGAGTAGGTGAAGCACTTCATCCTGATTGCATTGAAGCAACTACAAAAAACCCAACAAATGTCATGATTTGGGCATGTATGTCTGCAGATGGTATGGACCGAATTCAAGTGATTGATGGCATCCTGAATGCCAAAAAATACATCGAAACTGTCCTGAAACCAAAATTGATACCTTCCATCAGGGATCTCTTCCCCAACAACACGCCATTTATTTTTCAGCAGGATTCAGCTCCATGCCACACAGCAAAAGTATGCAAAGCATGGTTTCAAAATAAAGGCATGGATATATTATCTTGGCCAGGAAACAACCCTGATCTCAATTCTATTGAAAATTTGTGGCGACGTTCGAAAATTTCTGTGCGAAAAAAACGTCCATCCAATAAAAGACAACTTAATGAAGCTATAATTGATTCTTGGCACCATGTGATTACGAAAGATGAACTCCAAACACTTGTTCACTCGATGAAAAGACGCTGTGAAGCTGTCTTAAAAAAATAAGGGTTATCCTACTAAGTATTGATTGTGTAAGATAGATCTTACTATTAGTTGCATAACTTTTTTTGTAATACAGATTTTGTAATACTGTATTTATTATTAAATTTTACATTAAATTACCTTCAATTTGATATATAAACGTTTGTATTTAAGTGAAAAATAATATATTCTTCAAGCACACAAAGTTGAAAAACATGAAACTTTCAAAAAATGTCCGCACTTTTGGCCACCACTGTATATATAATTTAAGGAAAAGATCTTTAATGTATTTAACTGTATTCATTTTTTTTTCTATTTTTCTTATGTATTCTATGTAATTTAAAAATAGTAGTAATGTTGGATTTTAGCTTAAAAGCTAGAATAAATGCTAGCCTTCATCTGTTACTTATTTATCAGTAAATATTTATGAACGCGCACCCCCCCCCCCAAGTAGGTANGCCCCCCCCCCCCCAAGTAGGTATCGACGGAATTGATGACTGCCTCCTCCTTTCTAGATGGTTATGAACTAACCCGCATTCGCGTTACATGGAGACCACGATAACCTCCCACGGTTACCCTGACGGCAAAGGGACTCCAAGCCATGACACTGAGGATATTTCACGTCAGTAATGTGGTCGGTGCAAGTCGGATGCAGATTCGTATCGACCAGCCATCGGTGGGATTCAAACCCGGATCACCTCAATTGAAGGCTCTATCCCCTGAGTCATCGCTGCTTAATCAAGTACCATGGGTATTCATAAAAGTGAAGTCGATTGCATTTATGTTTTTTTTAGTACCATTTCTGAATTAAATTTTTCCAATTGTTATATTGAAATCAGTACTTATTACCAAAATTAATTAAGCATCAGTGGCTATAATAATAGTACGGCGAATTTTTGCTTTTTCCTTTAAGCGAATTAGTATCATTTCTGTATTATTTATTTTTTTAGTACATAGTTTATTTTTTTATTCCAGTTGGTAATTTAATGAAGCATCATAGATTTCAACAACAGATGGCTATTTACTATACTTCTCCAAAATGAATTAGTATCATTCCTCCCTTAATTTTGCTTCCCAGGATAAATATTTTTCTTTAAATACCGTCTTCAAATTAGTAATTAGTTTCATACAAATACGTTTCAAACGCACAATTAAAAAAATAATCACGCGGTTTCAAATTAATTAAGGAATACTAGTTTGGTGACGTAGTCCCCTCATGCTACCACGCTGGCATAACAGTTAAAAACAATTATTGCAATCCATGACATTTCATGTTGTGGCGTTTATCAAAGTGTATGAAGTTCAAAAAAAAATAAATTCTATCTTACCGGGTATGAAAGCTATTTGAGAATGAAGGAGGTCGGGATCCACCTGATTGACGGTGGCCGGTTGAGTCAGAATGTGTTCGCAATATCCGTCATCAATGTCCTCCTCACCGAACAAATGACTGATGGAAGCTGAAAAGAAAAATACTCACTAGAATGTTGTTCACAGTGTGAAATATATGTAATGACAGTAAGAATATCTTGATTTATAAAGTAAAATAAAAATCTGTTCCTTCATCAAACACAAATATTATTTTATACAGGTCCTTATGAGCTTCTACAAGATGAGCAAATTGGCTTCTAGAAGATTTTGGAATTTTTTAAGGAGCATAAATAAGGAGGAGATAGATATAATGATAAGCCAGATTGGTGTTGTAGTTCATTTACGTCACACTAGAGCTGCACAATGGGCAATTGGCGACGGTCTGGGAAACATCCCTGAGAATGATCCGAAGACATGCCATCACAATTTTGATCTTCTGCAGAGGGGATGGCAACCCCCGCTTCGGTAGCCCGACAACCTGCAAGCGAAGTCGAGCCCTTTATGATAGACCAGTATAACGAGGACTCGTACCGCACACCCTCTGTCCCTACGCAGACTGATCCAAGTGGTCACCCATTCGGACACTGACAGCAGCCAGTGATGCTCGACTTCGGTGATCTGCGGTGTCTTAACGATCAGCCCACTGCAGGTCCTTATGAGAGCCTCTTAATGGTATACCTAAAAAAATACACGCATTTTTATACTTCTGTTTAGGATCCCATCTTTTACCTTCTCTGCTCGATTGTGAACAAAAAATCTGAGAAATTGAAGAAAATTATTCATGAATTCAGTATCGGAGCTTTTCCCAATAATTAACGTTTAGATCACCCTTAAAAATGCATATGAACACTCGTCCTGGTATTAACTTGTTCATTCACACCATTTTTGGTGGTCACCATGTTCAACACCCCAGTTTTAACAAATGTAGTATTTTTTAAACTTTTTCGAAAATTGAGAATTCTTAACTAGTGAAAGAAAATAGTGACATCATCTCCAGCCCTAATGGAAGGGTACCAGTTTGTCAAGGAAGGCCTTTTCTTGTCACCATAATGGTCACGAGCCTTGACCTTTGTGACACCCAGGCGGGAATGCTTTCGATTGACATTACGAATACAAATTATACTAAACACTACATTTTAATATTTATGCATAGTTCGTTCATCAGAAGTTGGCACATGGCTCCACCTCCTCGCATGCAGAGTTCATTTAAGCACGGGGAGTAACAGGAGAAACGTCACCGAGCTTGAAATTGAGACAACCCTTATTGCTCACCAAACGCAAACAGTGAATTCTTTTTCAGTCACTTCCTTCGCTTTATCATCTACTATTATACCCTTCTTTACTCAAGCTAATTAAATATAGTGCAGCAAAATGTCTCGAAAAAGGACAAACTATATCCTCAAAAGAGGGAAATATCAATACATTTATGAAATATTTAATGTTAAAAAAAATGCACATGAAGAGTGCAAAATGAATATTTTTGTCAAATAGCAAACCGTGTTCAGGATTGTTCACACATCCTTCCATCAAAATTAGCAAAATTGTATCGTCAGATACCACGTAATGAAAGCGGAGGCAAATCCTGGCGAACGAACTATAAATAACGTTTTCTAAAATTTAGGCATTGATTTTTTGAACATAAAATGCATCTTTACTTAAAAGTAGAAAACTAAATAGTGTTGTATATTTTTAAATAGTATCGGCCATCAATTATAATATGGAAAGCGAAGAATTACGTGCAAACGATTATTAGCAAACGATTTTTTATTCGACATTTTTTTCTACCAAACAAAGGTCTACAGGTTAATCCAAAAAGAACAATCAGACAGGTTTTTTGATCAGTTTTTCAAGTGCTAAAATGGCTTTGTTAGCCCTGAATAGAAAGAGCGATCTTTTTTTTTTTAAATGGTAAAATGGGTTAATACTCTTTTACTTATCAATTGCTATATTATACTTTCATATAATGTAATAAATGTTAAAGGTAGAAATTCTTAATAGAAAATAAAAAAAATATTAAATTGAAAGCAGTGGTGTCAGGCGAAGGACAAGTGAGCAAACGATCTATTAAGGGTGCACAACCTGGGATCCGCTGTGGCACATGAACATATAAAAATAAACTATAATAAAAAAATTTTGAAACAAATAAAGAAAGAAAAAAAATCGAAATTTTTGAAGTTTTTGACTCACCAAATCTAAATCAATGTAGTTTTTCGATAGCTATTTTTTCGGAGGCAATAAATTTCCACAGTTTTAAAACTCTCGATTTTTTTTATAGTACTACCAAATTACGATGAGTAAATTTCGAATTTTAGTAATCACTTTTGAAGCTCTTTATTTGAGTCCGATTCATAGTGACTTCTCGATGTGACTTTTCGGAAGTTATTGTACGATTTCCGCTTAAAATACTGCTCTTTTTAATACGATGTTATAACGACTATATGATATAACGACGATGTTATAACGATGTTATAACGTGCAAATAACTTTTGATGTACTTTATTTGTTTCAATTTTATCGTAAATCCAAACTATTTTTAACTTTGTTTTTTTCGGTATTTCCACGTGATTTTGAAAATACCGACATTTTTAATATGTATTAATACGACACTCAAATCTAGAGCTTTATCACTCATATAATGAACACCACATAATTAGTTTTATTTAACGACAAAGAATAAAATGGGCAGGCCACGTTATCAGAAGGGACGGAGACCGTAAGACAAAGAGAGTTTTCAATGCCAGACCAGTTGGCACACGAAAAAGAGGCAGGCCGAATTTGAGATGGATAGCTGGCCTAGAAAAAGACCTTTTGGTCTTAAAAACTAAAAAACACTACCAGGAAAAAAGTTAGGAATCCGGAAAAACTTCTTGAGAGGGCCAAAGCCCACCCTGGGCTGTCGAGCCATTGATGGTGATGATGATTAATACCACACTCTAGTCGTACCTTTAAATATGAGCTTTATTTGTGCCGATTTCATGCCAAATCTTAGAGATTTCAACAACTAGACTTATGTACCGGGTTTTGAATAGCCTGATATTTTTAATCCGGTATTATAACGGTTTCTAATCAGGCGTTGCTTTTGACGTGACTTTCTTTGCGCTGATTTCATCCTCAATGTATGTTACATTTAAACAATTCGTTTTTAATGCAATATTATAACACAACGCGAAATTCTAATGTGAGTTTTAAACTGGTTACTATGTTTGAGTTTTGTTTCTAATTCTTGGTAGCTTAAAAAGTACTTAAAAAAACCGTTTTAAAGTTTAACATTCATAAAATCTCTTTTAATTTACTAAATTGAAATATTCTTAAGTTAAAAATATACTGAACTTAATCTCCACCGAATGCTGAATCCTATTTTGAGAAATAATTCATTTGTTTTATTTTAAATCAGTTTATTCCCTGTACAATTTCCTTAATTAAAATATTTAATTTGCATTTATGAGACTAAATAAAATATTTATAGCTTCTTATTTTTAGCTTTCATTCAAGAACATTACTGTTAATTTATTTTAATATAAGTTTTTGTGTTACATGACGTAATAAAAAAAATCCTCATTTTTGCGATTTTTTATTTTTATTTAATGAGAAGGAAATTTTGAAGGGAGAATAAATTCTACGAATTCAATAATGAATAAAATATTGCATTTAAATACCAATTCTATCCGTCCCCACATCTTTACCGTCGCTAATGGTATTATACCGCAGGATGATTTTAAACAGGATTACAGGATATTTCCCAAATCGTCGCCACTACCAGCACTACCTAAATAAAGTAATACTGTTTGTTCTATCACTTCCCGAAGCTGTACATCAGGATAAAATTCGTAGTCGAATTTTATTATTTTATAACATGGTGTGTAGCCAAATCTTTCAACAAAAAATAAGCACCTTTTAAGTAGTACTTTTCAAGCATATATTTTTAAGCACTATATTAACAAAATATTAAAAAAAAAAAAACATTTTTAAGCACTATATTAACAAAATACAAAATAATTTTCAGACTTTACATGATCCTGATAAAATAACTAGTTTCTGACAAAGAATTCCTTTCTTGATTATATTAGCCATTAAAAAATGATCGAGAGATTTTTCGGTTCGATATCAGAGGTTGGAAAATGAAGTCTGTAATTGAGAATATCTTGCAAAATGCAGCAGAGTTGCACACGAGAGTGCAATAATCTCACCGAACACAGCTTAGATGACGCACACGCAAACATTTCATCAAACAAGAAAAATGATGGGCACATTCATACGCTATAAACTGACGGTATAGATTGTGGTTGAATGAATTGTGAAAACGTTGAGAAAAAAAAAACGCTCTTGCATAATACGTGGCGAAAATCGACAGGGTAAAGAAGAAAAAAATCTCATTTTCCCAAAGGAAAAAATAAGCACCTTTCAAAAACACGCAATGAAGAAAGCACCTTTAAGGGCTTTTAAAAAACTAAAACCGGAAATAAGCACCTTTAAAAACGCTACGCACCCTATATAAGCTTTTTCAAAATAATACTTTCATATTAAACGGTGCATTCAGAACAATTTTTGACCCAATGATCGGATTTTTAAGTGTAAAGACTCAATCTTGATGGTTTGAGAGTTACGAAATAAATATGCTAAATAATAAATGAAGACGATATTTTGAGAAATAAAATCACAGTTGAGTATTTCCTACCATTCAATTAATCTAAGAATAAAAAGAAATCCAGAAATTGTTTCGGTAAAATCAAACAAATTACAATAACGGAGGAAAATTATGTTGTTTTCTTTTTACTAGTGTTAAAGGAAAAAGGAAAACATATCATCCACGCAATTATTTTCTGAATAAATATGAAAGAAACGACGGAAAAAAATGATTCAAATAATAATGGAAATCAAATGAAGCATTCTATTAAAAGTGAATAACCTTGAGATGAAAAACAATTTGTTTTGCTCACTTCTTTAAAGATTCCGTTTTCTTGATATTTTTTTTTCTTCTTCTGTGCTTAACAAACATTTGATGAATGAATTATTTGACAGTACAAAACTCTTGAATGGAATTTTCACTTTAAAAGCTATGCGTGGTGATTCATTTTAAACTTCACATCTC